GTTTAGATTTGTTCCCTTCCAGCTTCAGTGGGATCCTCATGGCAATCCGGTTTTTCTGGCTTCGCCACTGTGGTTTCAGGGCTCCGGAGTTCTACCACGTAAAGGAGAAACCACCGTGCTTGCTTCCCTTCCCGCTTTCCACAACTAGTCACAGAGAACCACCTTGGGCTTGGCTGATGGGCTTCTGGAAGCTGAGTGCACGGAGGCCCCTGCCAGTTTTAGATTTAATCCTTCCCGTGGCCTTACACTTCAGAGACGCAGCACGTGGGAAAGGAAAAACTGCCTGGTCAAGTTGGTCAGCCTGTGGGTCTCTGATGACAGACATCTGGGCTAATACCTTGTGAACTTGAACCCAAATTGAGTGTTGAGGTAAAGCAGTGTATTCCTTAATAATTCTTAACATCCCAGAACAAACATTCATATAAAAGGGTTATTTTATGTTGCCAACCTCCCACTCACTGATCCCCACCTGGAGCTCGCTACATTCACCCACCCACACCCCCGTCCCCTGCGTCCTAATCGGCTTTTGGGGAAGGTTTAGAATAGAGCTAAAGTAAAACAAGTTCAGCACATACACAAAAGCTCATGTCTTCTGGGTTCAACCTTTCCTTGGGCCAGTGTTCCTGGGAGGGAGGAGGTCCTCCACCCCACAGCTCAGCACCGCAACCTTATGTTGGACAAAGACACTGCCCTTCTGGCACAAAGGGCTTCTCAAATTTTGAGCAACTGTAGGGCTTATGGCAGAACGAAGTTGATGTGTTTGACTTAATAAACATTTTGTTTTAAAAAATGTTGGGAGGTGTTAAAAATTTTGAACCATAACATTATGTCATGGGTATCCAGGCTTGAGATGACATTCGGGACATGGCACCCCATGAGGTTTTCACAGTGTGGTCATCATGATGTGTTCACGGCATGGGGACAATGGCAGCCACTGTTCTGGTCTCTGCAGATCTCTTAGTCATGACATGCCTTTGGCTATGGTTTCTTCCAACTACCATTCCCACAATTCCAGGTCATTTCCTCCAGGGCGCCCATCAGTCCTTGGTGGACTGCTGCTGTCCAGCCTCTGTTTATTCACTCCCTCCCTCAAAGTGCTTGCTTGTCTCCAGCACTCTGGTGCCTGTCAATACGGACTTGTAAATCTCCACTTTTGTGACCCATCAGGCCTTTTCCCTTGGAGAATGTTCATCAGATGTCACGGATGAAAATGGTTCATCAGGAACACAAGGCAGGAAGAAAGACCCCAGTGGGGTACACAAGCAGATGGAGGGGCCCACCCTCTGTAGGGAGGGTATAAAGGCCCACCATGGCCTTGTGGGCAAGAGTATATGGGATGGAAAGTTCCTTAGTTTCAAGACCCCCAGAAGCACCCTGAAACAAGGAGTGAAGTGCAAGTAGTTCATTTGGTAGATGATTGCAGGACACCGAGGGAGTTGAGAAGGGCATAGGGAAGGGGGGGAAGCGAATACAAGGTGTATTAATAAGTCAGCTACCACAGCAGGTTACTAAAGCTTAATTTTGTGGGAAATCTCCCCAAAACAGTATGACACACAAGCCTCAGAATGATCTCATCCAAGGAGCAAGGGAGCAATATATTTTTTTTAGATATGTTTTTATTGATTTCAAGGAGGAAGGGAGAGGGAAAAATATCAATGATGAGAGAGAATCACTGATCAGCTGCTTCCTGCATGCCCCACAATGGGATTAAGCCCACAACCCAGGCATGTGCCCTTGACCAGAATTGAACCCGGGACCCTTCAGTCCGCAAGCTGACACTCTATCCACTGAGCCAAACTGGCTAGGGCAAGGGAGCAATATTTTGTTGTTAATTCTTACCCAAGGATATTTTTTAAAAATATTTTTTTATTGATTTCAGAGAGGAAGGGAGAGTGAGAGATAGAATCATCAATGATGAGAGAGAATCATTGATCGGCTGCCTGCTGAACATCCACCACTGGGGATCAAGCCTGCAATCCAGGCATGTGCCGACTGGGAATTGAACTGTGACCTCCTGGTACATAGGTCGACGCTCAACCACCAAGCCACACCAGCTGAGCCAAGGATAGTTTTCCATTGGTTTTTAGAAAGAGTGGGAAGGAGAGAAGAAGGAAGAGGGAGGGAGGGGGGGAGAGAGAGAGAGCGAGAGAGAGAGAAACATCGATGCAAGAGTCATATCCATCAGCTGCCTCCTGCACCCACCCCAACCCTTGACCAGGAATCAAACCCGAGAGCCTTCAGTGTGATAGCCGATGCTCCAACCATTGAGCACCACCAGCTTGGAGTGAGTGATATTTTTATACACCAACCTCTATGACTGTTGAAAGCTTCTTCTTGGAAGTGCTGATTCCATGGTACTCCTGGCCTGCTGTAGCCAAAAACATTAATGGACACAGAGGTGCAGATATTAGCCATTAAAAGTTGTCTGGGGCCCTCTGAAACAGACCTATAGGCCGGGACTGTGGGCTAGTCTAGGACACCTGACAAGCTGGCTTTCACTGGCTAGGACCACCTTCCACAGTGCTCACTGCATGAACCCATAGCCTGAAAAAGTGGATGCTGACTGTACTGTCAGGACTGCGATGGATTTTCACCAAAGTTTTAGGATAAAATATATGTATTCAACAGCATTAGTGGAGCCAGCACTGGATGAAGTAGTAAGTGAGGCATTATATGATTATAATGACAGCTTTCCATGAGGTTAGGTGAAAACTGCAGGTTATAGAACTCCATTTGAGGGTTCCATATAACCCCATTTTTGTGTTTAAAAACACATAGAAAATGTATGCATAAAGAATCTATGTGTGCCCTAACCGGTTTGGCTCAGTGGATAGAGCGTTGGCCTGCGGACTGAAGGGTCCCAGGTTCGATTCTGGTCAAGGGCATGTACCTTGGTTGCGGGCACATCCCCAGTAGGGGGCGTGCAGGAGGCAGCTGATTGATGTTTCTCTCTCATTGATGTTTCTAACGCTCTATCCCTCTCCCTTCCTCTCTAAAAAATCAATAAAATATATTTTTAAAAAATCTATGTGTTATTAATTGCTGTCTTTAGGGAAGTGGGGTTATGGCTTCTCTTGTTTCTTACCTATTTGCTGAATCCTTATAATAAGCATGGATTACTTTTATAATAATAGTGACCAGATTAAAAAAATATTCTGTACAATCTCAAGATTCAAGAATAATTCTAGCACTTTTCTAAATCTTCCCTTCATTCCTCCTTCACACCCTCCATCCAATGCTCCAGTCGCCTTGCTTAGCTGCAGGTAAGTGGCACTCAACATCCCCTCTCACACACGGGAGAAAACGAGGAATTAGGTGCAAAAGGCTTTGAGCAGCTGAGAGACGTCCCCATATCTCTGAACTAAAACTCTCCCATTTGCTCACAGAGTAGCATTCACTGGTAGGACTTGTTTATAAGTACAGAATTCTCATGTTGATATCTGAGTTCAAGTTCACGTTTAGAAGTGGCAATTAAAAGCTGAGACAGGGCCTGCAGAGGCAGACACCCAGTAGGCAGGGTGGTAGACCTGACAGGAGAGGACAAAGCCTGGACAAGGCTGCCACCTGTGCCGTCAGTCAGCACGGGCACCCAGGTTCCTTCCGCCTCTTCACCTGCTTCCAAACCCCAAGCAGGATCACGGCCATGACCTTGAGGGATCCAGAACAGACTTAATTATACTCAAGAGGACCACACATCCAATGTTCAGGACTTAAAAAGAAATGGAATGCAGGCATACAGTCAAGATCCTCCACATTAAAAGTGGGCATCTTCAAATATAGCTTCAGAATCGTGCTACCATCAGCCAGACTAGGACAGGAGGTTATATTCTCCCTCTTCTGCTTCTGCTTTTTCTCCTTTGGTGTGAAATGAAGTTGATTTTCTATTTGCCAGCATCCTCTGGTTACAGTACCTGCTCTTCAACGTCTGATCTTCTAATGAAGGAACTTACACTATCCAATATGTTTCCGAATATCACTTTTTTTTCTCCCTCATTTCACAATATTCCTTAAATTAAAAAAAAAGACACTGGAGAATAAAGTCTTAACAACTGTTATGGGACCATGATCCTTTGTACTGACCACTTTTTAAACTCTTCATAAAAGGGGTCTTTAACAAGCCCAAGCGTTTAAATATGAATGGAATAAAGGCAAAAGGAGATGAAAGACACGGCATTCCTGGTGAAATAGGTCAGATGATTTTCAGACTCCCAAGTGTCCTGATAGTTTTACGTGATCCAGTCCAGTTCCTGAAAAAACCCTGCCAACAGGTAACAGGTCTTTGAAAGCTTTTGAAGCCAAAGGCTCCCCACCAGCCAGCCCATCTCTCACTAAGTTCTCAGCCTCATTAAGAATGAGAAACAGATACCACGGCACCAACCTGTCTAGAGAACACAGCGAGACAAATGTAATTGCCTGTATGAGGAATATAGGGCAGCGACTCCCGAATCATTCGTATTTACACCCACTCCATTTCGGTTGTCTTTCCTTTATAATTTGGCCATACATCGATGTCAAGTGTATAATTTCATCTGGGGCTTTATCAGTTACCGCCAGAGCCATGATTACAGGGTGCAGGGGACGCCTCCCCCTGAGCGAGGCTATCTTTAGTATCTTCTTGATAGCCACTTCTTACATAGGAAATCAAAAGGAAAGCCTTGGTTTTCTTATGTGGCTCCAGAATCACTAAATATAACATTTAGGAGCAATTTATTGACTGTAACCGCTGGGTTTTCAACTGCCACTACAGTTTTTCAAAGTGCTCTTATTCCTTTCTTTTGTTATTTTTATCAAGTTGGAACAGAAATTTCAGGGAGTTCTATACTGACCATTCAATCATGTACTAAGTTCGACTTTTACCTTGCTAGTGCCCCCCCCCAACTTATTGTATGAACATAAGCCTGGATTTTGACCAATCAGAATCCCAGCAAGAAGGCTACCAGTATGTTTTTTGGAAGAAGTAACGTTTCGCAAACAAAATAAAAAAAAATGGCTCGCCGATCTAGGATTCAAAAGATAATTTATTAGTCTGAGGAGTCACACACTATACCCAGTAATATGCTTCTTTTATTTTTGTGCCTTTACCTTAAAAATATATTTAAACAAGAAACAAAGATAATATTGAATTTTCCCATAAATTTTGCTTTCTTATTTACAGTGTTACATTGTAAATAACATTCCATTATACACAAATTAAGGACTGCATTACCGTATGGTTTCTTTACATATCCTTTCATAATACAGTACACACAGCTCGAAGCTATTATGTTTAGAAAGGCTTGAGGGAAGAAGTACAAACTTTGTCAATAAGACTATTATTTTAAAAGGTTCTGACCTTGATTCTCTGCTAGATTGTTTCACTGAAACCATTCTTTGTTAAAGAAAAATGCCCCATATGAGGGATGAGAATAACAGTTTAAGTCACCACAGGATCCACTTAAACTGGTTAACCAATAAAAACACTTTATCACTTATTACTGTTACTAAATGGAGCACTACCACTGTCAAGTCATTTAAACAAGCAGATTTACCCTTCAATTCAGACACATTACATCGATGACAGTTGGTACCTCTTTACGAAATAAAAAATGTTTCCTGCAACTTTAGGTTTGACTTGTAAACAGTTAAAGCACACATTTTGTAAAGATGATTGACTCATTCCTGGTCTTAGGTTACGCAATATGGGGGAGTTTCTATTTCATCAGGGAGAAGCAAGCACTCACGCTGCACACACACACACACACACACACACACACACACGCACACGCACTCATGCACACACTCGTGCACTCAGCCCACCCGCCCACCAAAGGCCGGTGTGTCACTAGCACTCACTGTGGCAGCACTAGTGTCACCAGCGGTGTGCGAGGCTGCAATAGGAGTTATAAAATGAAGACAATAGGACAGGACATCCAACTTCTGTTAAAAATATGGAAAGCTCAGGTTCTGAAATGCCCTCAGGTGCTTCATGCTCAGCTTGAAGGTTCAGTTCACTGGGCTCTGCAAGCGGCACACCCCACCTTCGATGGCCACAGACTGTCCTGCCACCGCACCGGGAGGGAGTCTGGAAATGTGAGTCTGCAAAGAGGGAGACAGGAGAACGTTAGAGGTGCCGGCTGTGTCCCCCCAAGTGTGACAGGTGGAGGCAAGACCAGAGCCTCACGGCTCCTCTTTGCCTCTGGGCACCTGCAGACGGTGGTGGTGGGAACCTTAGGTGCCCAGATCCTGCTTGTCCAGGCCGCTCAGGGCACGTGTACTGAGTATCCCTGTGTGCCGAGCACAGCACTAGCCACTGGAGTTTCAGAGCGGGCAGCCAGCCAAGGCCCCGACAGCACAGAACTTACAGTGTAGTCAGTCTGTACTCAGAGTAGTAGAGTGCTTTTATTGTGGACACTATTACAGATGTCTCCCATTCTTTTTTTTTTTAATCCTCACCCAAGAATATTATTTCCACTGATTTTCAGAGAGAGTGGAAGAGAGGGAAAGACAGAGAGAAACATCGATGTGAGAGAGACACATTGATTGGTTGCCTCCTGCTAGAGCCCCGACCAGGGCCCGGGCCGGGGAGGAGCCTGCAACTGAGGTACGTGCCCTTGACCGAAGGGTCCCAGGTCGACACTCTAGCCACTGAGCCAAACCGACTAGAGCGAGTCCCCCATTTTCTGTATTCAGAATAGCAGTGTGCTCTTATTGTTGACACAATTACAGATGTTCCCCATATTCACCCCCTTTGTCCATCTCCACCCAGCCCCCAGTGGTTTTAATGCCAACTATCTTGGTCACATTCCAGTTCCATGAAAACTAATAATTTATATACATTTTGTCCTCTGAGCATTCAGAGCAACTACGAATACCTGGTTCATGTTTATACTTCCAATTTGTCCCTTAAAAGATCTGAATAGCTTACAAAAAGTCAGATAATTCAACAACCTAAAGTAAGTGAGGCAATGAGGAAAAGAAAAAGAGATTACAAAGCAAGGTGAAGATTGGCATGAGGTGAACACCTAGCAGACTGCTGCCCTGTCCCCCAGCTTCCCAGCGGCTACTATGGGGTGGTTCATGTGGCACACAGGATCACACAAACCACGTGCCTGGAGAACGCCTACCACCATGGTGAGGGAGCCATGTGTTTGGTGGGGCTTCAGATACGGTAGGTGGCATGTACAGTGGGTCAGCTGTACGACAGTGAGCGTGGTGGGATGAGGGCTACATTATGCAGAGGAGGCGGCCCTGAGTGAAGATGTGAGTGCCCCACGAGGGGTCAGGACAGCAGCCAGGAATCCCTTTGTAGGTGGTCCTGCTTAATCTGGGGATAGATAAATGTAGGGAGTTTCTAAGAAGAACAGGGCTGCATCTCCTCTAAGGCAGCGATTCTCGACCTGTGGGTCGCGACCCCTTTGGCGGTGGAACGACCCTTTCACAGGGGTCGCCTAAGACCATCCTGCATATCAGATATTTACATTAGGATTCATAACAGTAGCAACATTACAGTTATGAAGTAGCAACGAAAATAATTTTATGGTTGGGTCACAACGTGAGGAACTGTATTTAAAGGGCCAGAAGGTTGAGAATCACTGGTCTAGGGAATCTTCTCTAATTCTGTTTCTCTAAACAAGCTTTTCCTGAGAACTGAACTGAGGGGAGCTCAGCCCTGGGGCAGCCAAACAGGAAGCAAGCATGCACATTTGATGGAAAAACAGGTAACATGGTTGGCTTATAGTTGAGGGTGGACACTACTCTTGAATCTCACTGTGCAAGTCCTATTAGAGTAGCTGACACAGATCAACCATTTGGAAAGTTCTGGAGAACAGGACTGTCCTTTGGGTACTTGGTTTTTGTGTGTACAAGGCATCAGCAACCCGGAACCTTTGGGGGTGAGGTTGGTGGACTTGGGGGTGGAGAGCTGGACAAGGCAATCCTGTGGCATCTCCTGGGATGAAAGTTTCAGTGAGTTCACTCGGCAGGCTCGTGCCGCTGGGAACTAACTGTGTCCCAGCAGCTGGCCTCATTGTCACGTCGGAGGGCAAACTTGCCTCTCACTGCTTGGATATCTTAGAGCTAAGTCCATATTGAGACTAACTGGTGAGTCTTCTGTTCCTTGTGATGCTTCATTAATCTTGTGGGAGGAGCTAGAAGAGGACCGGTTTGTTTCTGCTATCTAACAGCTCTTATCACATTAGGAACAAAAAGCTGAAATCCCACAATTCCCAGGGCTCAGTGTTGATGGGGCCATGTTTATATTACAGGACATTATTAACATGCAGTGAGAGAGAATTTTTTGCCTAGGGATCATTCATTAATTTTTTTTAAAGGTTCTCCTAAACAAAAAGCTCCCTTAGAGAGTAGAAGCCCCTCAGTCCATTTCATCCCTAACGTCACCTCTTCAGTCCTGAACACAGGCATGCAGCTAAGACAGGGGTCAAGAATAAAGCAGAACCGCTGTGGAAAACAGTATGGCAGTTCCCCAAGAAATTAAACATAGAATTATCATATGATACAACACTTCCACTTCTGAGTACATACCCTAAACCAGTGAAAGCAGGGACTCAAAAATATATTTATACACCAGTGTTCACAGCAGCATTATTCACAACAGCTAAAAGGTAGAAGCAAACCAAATGTCCATTAGTGTATGAAGAGATAAACAAAATTGTGTAATATGCTTAAAATGGAATATTATCCAGCTTGACAAAGGAACAACAGCCTGACACATGCCACAATATGAATAAGCTTTGAAGACATTATGCTAAATGAAATAAACGATACAAAAGTGCAAACATTGGAGGATTCCATTTATATGAGGTACCTAGTAATCAAATTCATAGAGAGAAAGCAGAATGCCAGCAGCTGTGGGCGGCAGGAATGGGAAGTCATTGTTTAATGAGCACAGCTTGGGAAGATGAGTAAGTTCTGGAGATGGAGGGCTGAACAATGTGAATGGACTAAATGCCACTGAACTGTACACTCAGAAGTGGTTAGAATGATAAAAAAATTTATGTCTTATAGATTTTGCCACATTTTTTAAATCCTCAACTGAGGATATGTTTTTACTGATGAGAGAGAGTGAGAGCGAGAGCGAGAGCGAGAAGAGAGAGAAAGAGAGAGAAGAGAGAGAGAGAGAGAGAGAGATGACCGAGAAACACTGATCAGTTGCCTCCCATATGCACCCTGAGCAGGGACTGAACCCGCAACCCAGGTTATGTGCCCTGACTAGAATTGAACCCACAACCTTCTGGTGTACAGGATGATGCTCCAATCAACTGAGTCACCCAGCCAGGACTTCCACCATTTTTTAAAAAAAGTAATAAAGGAGAAATGACACTTTCCTACCTGGTCCAGAATAGTTTTCCACGAGATGGCATTAAGAGAAGGGGTCAGCTAGGAATGAATCCAGGATGCAGACCCCATGGGAGAAACATTAACACTACCAGGTTCTGTTCACAAATAAGTTGGAATTTTCTAATCAGGTTAAATTATCTGTCCCTAAAAGAGAAGCTCACAGGAAAATCCATCCTTATGTTTCCCAAAGGTCCAGGGAGAATCCAGGCACCAGAGGGGACAGAGAATAAATTGTTAAAAGATCAAAGAGTGACCATATGTCCAAGCAGATGGCCTGCAACTTGACCAGAGGGATGTCGGTCTTAAAGCAACTGATTTCTTGCTGACCATGGCAAAGACCCAGACTAGGGGGAAGAAAGTCATGTCCCATGAACCAAGGGACTTGATAGCAATCTCTTGAGATTTACAAAAACACAGACGGCCAATCCTAACTTATCCCTAACACTCCCACCCCCATTAAGTTCACGACAGAAGAACATCTAAATAAACGGAACTAAATCACAGTGTCAAGGAGAGTTAGGAAGGAAAAGAAAAAAGGACTGAAAGTGATGACAGTGGTCTTGAGAAAATAACAGCACCTGGGCAAAATGCTTCAAAAATACATTGAGATTTGTAAAAACTGAGCTGATTACATAAGACAGAAATGTTCAAGTACACAAACTAGTGGTTAGATTCTCTTCAGGATTACCCATTCCCTCGATTGTCATCTAGTTGAGGGGTTATTTTGAGATTACAAAACACATTGGCATGGTCTTGGTGTTGAGAGGAGTGAATTGGCTAACCATCCAAATGTCAATGCTTCACCAGTTTCATCCATCAACACGGTCTTCTGACTCATCAAAAAATAAGTGACCTTGGTCTGAAAAGGTCAGAGCCAAGATGTTTTGAAGCTTTCTGTGGAGATTGCAATGGAGCGTCAAATTCTATTATAAACACTGCGAGCTGTTTCACAGGCTATTTTACATGAGTGTTTATCTCCAAAGTTTCTTCTAGAGAAGTGGGTTTGAATTCCTCTTGAGACTAAAAATAGACCACTTTCTACAATGAACTTATATGTCATTATTTAAAAGTGCAATAAAGTATTTTACATTGCCTAAGGCCTGTGTAGACCCTAGGGTACCCTATAAGCATAAGAACTTAAAAAAAGGTGTTTTTGAAGCCATTTAAGTAGCAATGTACTTTCATTGGAATTTACATGAAATAACACACGAAAATGATAGGTAAAAAAGGAGCAGATTGCTCCATTTTGGGTAATCTCCCTCCATTTCTTGCTGCATACCTCCTTCATATATGATTTCAAGTCTTGAATATCCTTTTCTGGTTCTTTCTCAAGGAAATACTTCCTTAACTGGATCCCGTACTCAGTCTAGAAACTCTCATTCTAGCTCCTAGAGCGCTCATCTGAGCATGTGATGTAACTGTCTTGATTTTGGTTTGCTTTGAGCTTTTAGGTCTCTGTAATTGAAAGCCAGCTGGAGGCGGGAGACTGCCCTACACACACCTATGTAGTCCCTGAACCTGTCACAATGCTTGACACAAAAGGCTAAATATGCTCACTGAGTGTCTGAATGACAAAAATATACCTTCCAAGGCTATGTTTATGAACACACAAAGAATCTCAAATGTTTTAGCTAGTGCGACCGGTCAGTTTGGCTAAAAAGTCAATCTTACTAGTTTGTCATATAAATATTTTTAAGAGTAAAAGAATATATAGACTGACTGAATGGAAGAAGATATTC